TGACCGTTCTAGAAGTGCATGACGTGTTACTAGCGTCACGTGACCTCCTCTGTCGTAACAGTATGTTACAGAAGTTTTTTGTTATTAAACACAATGGGCTATCTGTGCTTTGCCAGCCGCCATAGGAGGTCTTATCTATTGCCCAGGGCCCCACACGTGGAAGGGCCCCCAATGCTATGACTTTTAATCTACTTCTATGAATGTAGTATGTGTTTTCACTATGATTTCTTCCAATATGTATACGATTAATGTTTCAATTAATTTATTTTTTCAGATCAAATGTTCTATATTTAAAGTTTGATCATTGAGTTTTCTTATTATGGGGGGCCCCATTTACTGAATTCTGCCCGGAGCTCCAGAATGACTACGACCGCCCCTACCAACCGCGAGTATAGAAACCTGATTTTTAAAATAGATGGAGCAACAAGATGTCGATTTCTTTTATATTCAATATCGTTACTAAAATACGTCATCTGCTGTTCACCGTGGCACATACAATGTTCAATATTACCAAATCGGTGAAAACAAATGTCGCTTTTTAAATGGATACGATTTATTACTTGTATGATACGTTCTTCTAACTACATTCCTCTCTTTTTCAGTAAATTACATAATAAAATATTAATTCGTTAAATTGCATAAAAAACTGATGTAAAGGATTAGGGTTAGAAGATGCTGTTGTGTTCAGTAAAGGGATTAGGGTTAGAAGATGCTGTTTTGTGTTCAGTAAAGCGATTAGGGTTAGAAGATGCTGTTTTGTGTTCAGTAAAGCGATTAGGGTTAGAAGATGCTGTTTTGTGTTCAGTAAAGCGATTAGGGTTAGAAGATGCTGTTTTGTGTTCAGTAAAGCGATTAGGGTTAGAAGATGCTGTTGTGTTCAGCGAAGTGATTAGGGTTAGAAGATGCTGTTGTGTTCAGTAATTCATAAATAATTGGTTCCATCAGTGCAGAAAAAAATACATAGCCCTATTTTTACTTTCCGGGTAAATTGTTAGACGCAGAAAAAACTTTGAGTTAATTAGTACAAAAATAAGTATCCAGACTCTGTAAATTTTTAAAAATATTATTTACCATAACTACAAAATGATAATAGCCATGGCTGTGTTTTAAACGCACGAGTTGCCAAGCCAGTTACCAATTTTTTTTTCTGAAGAAACCAATAATAAAGTTATTTTTAAACCTGAACTATTTGAAATTAGGCAAGTTCAATGTTCGCATGCGCGGATAGTTACGTAGGAAATAATAAACAACGCACTAAGCTTAACATCTAGTAGCCTTTTTGTATATTTTAATTAACTCGTGATTTTTTCACTTCATATATTACAGGTAAAATATATTTTGTGTCTTTTACTTTATCTCCATACTTCAAATGAAGCACAGCCAGATAAATTGTCATTCACAGGTTATACTACGCATGCATGATGACGAAAAGCACCTTAGTTCGAGGATTCCAAAGCGGTGTTGGACAATGCGCATGACCGAGTTTAGATACTGTTAGTCCAGTGCAGTTTCAAACTATTAAAGTTGATGCTATGAAATGAATCAAATCCAGTGATTTGATTATGTTTTATGTTGCAGATGACTTGGAGAAGAAGACATATCATGTTTATATTCCATGGAATAAACAGTTGGATAACCCAATATGTAGCAAAAAGTTGATGCTATAAAATGAATCAAATCCAGTGATTTGATCATGTTTTATGTTGCAGAGGACTTGGAGAAGAAGACGACTTAATTGTTTTGTGCAGTGTATCCACTATACTTTAACATGAACCAATATACACCCAAATCGTGCTAAATATTTTGTGCAGTGTATTCACTATACTTTAACATGAACCAATATATACCCAAATCGTGCTAAATATTTTGTGCAGTGTATCCACTATACTTTAACATGAACCAATATATACCCAAATCGTGCTAAATGTTTATATCTTGTTTTGGGACCAGAAGTATCTTTGTACCGAACCCAATATAAATTAGCTAAAATTACGGCGGAGTAATATCAAAAACCCTAAAATTATACTTTTTGTGGCATGTCGACCCCTTTAATTAATAAAAATGGGTAAGTATACCGAAATTAAATGTGATCTCTCTGTATTGTTACGTCTCTGGTCGTTTGTTAATTACCCGTAAAAATTCTTTCCGGAGAACTTCAGCGATACAAGTCCTTTCTCAAATAAAACTAGTTTATTCTTTCTCAATACAACTTTGCAATACACTTAATTTCCACAGTCACTTTAATTCAAACACACGCTATAATTCACAACGATTCACGCACTTTACTTACGACTTGACTCGATTAATTGTTTCTATATCTCCCTATCTGCAAAATTATCTCTCCGCTTTATTTGCCGGACTTATATACTAAAATAGAGGGCGTCTGGCAAACACTCGGGCCTTCAGGATCCTTCTAGAAACTCATCACGTGTTACCAGGGTCACGTAACTTCCGCTGTCGTAACAGTATGTTTGATGTTCTAGTACGAGAGAAAAGCACTAACATATTATTGCATTCAGATGATAAAATTACCACCTGTTAGATGATATTGTTACGCGAAAGACAAACAAAAACAGTCCCACAAGGCGCAGACAAACCAATCACACGAGCCTTCAACGAGTTGATTCACTCAGTTTCCTGTCCACGGAACATGTACACCCCCCGGTGGCTCAGAGGTAAGTTGGAGGATTTATAATGCTAAAAACCATATTTGGACAACCGCGGTGGGCAGAACACAGATAGTACATCGTATATCTTTGTATCTAACAAACAAACAGAACGTGTACGCTTTTAAATGAAACTGAATAGAATACAAAACCAATTTCTAATTGAATATCTTTATATATTTAATTTTTCCTCCACAACTGCTAATTGATGGTTACAATTAATTTAAAAAAAAGACCATCAAATCTAATGTATTGTGAAGTTTGTTTTATTTATCTTTTCATAACTAAAGAAAGGTTAGAGTTCTCGATACTTGGGGGTCTTGTGATTAAATAAACAAGTTCGTGTATACTACTATAAAAAGACGGAAGCGTGGGAGGCAAATTAAACGGGTAGGGGAGGGGGGAAAGGTTTATTTGACCAAGCGAGGCGAGAGAATATGCACCATAGGCGCATCCATTACGGCACGGTTCTAGAAGTTCTTAGGTTCTGGATTAAATTTTATGCATTCTCTTGCTTTTCTGTCAGTACCGTAATTGTCCTAAATTGATGCATTTTTACTGTGACAGATTGAAATGCGCCCCCCCCCCGCTTCCTACGTCACTAAAAGAGCTGTGTTTATAGTGAACAAATTTGAACCCCCTCCCCCAGTAGTTCTTATAAAATGGCGTCGGAGGGTGAACTGCTGAGATGCAAAGCTTAATCGTCGCGATATGTATGCTTACGAAAATGACATCGTTTTCAAAAGGTTAGTTGTTAAGATAAAAGGCTTAACAATCAAAATATTGTTTCTGTAAAAACGTATGTTTTGATTATTAAGCCTTATAAGTACACCGATAGGCTGGAGAAGATAGGATGAAAAATACGTAATGTGTACATCAAATTCATATTATTACGAAGCAAAAGACGAGGAAGAAATCTCATCTCAACACAACCTCAGAAGGGAAGAATAACATTTATTGAACGTTTCGGAATACAACTCGTACCATTTTCAGCAAATCAAACAAAATCTCCAAAGCATAAATAACCTACTTCTATTAAGTCTGTTTTAATATCGTTTATTTAATTATCCTGGGTTTATATCCAAGTTCGCCGACTGGTTTTACACTGAATTAGGCCTAACTATCTCATTACGAGTGTTAATGGTTATACAAATACGTAAATTATATTATTTTTTTTTATCAGTAGGAAGTTCCTAAAAAAAGAAATTACGTATTCCTAAACGTTCACCAAGTGTTATTTTTCGTAATTTTTATGTTAGTTTTGTTTATTAATGCATTTTCGGTTTTATTTTGTAAATAATAATAATAAAACACGAACTAAAATCGAGAAGTATTTAAAAAAAGAGCATAGCACCCGCTAATTACATTAAATTAAAAGTTCTATCCCTATGGGTACAACAAAAACAACTAATCGAACATTCCCCCAGGATAATTTCAGTGGTAACCTTAAGGGCTTATAACGTTATAGTTAGAGGTTGGATCCCTGAGGGTACATTGTGCAGTTTTGTGCTTAAACAACAAACAAATAGTCTGACAGTTTACGCGTTTAAATTAATCTTACAGCTCGTGGTGACAGTAGATTTTTCAATCCAAGTTTGATTTTATAATGCTGGGAATTTAGTTAAAAACAGCCGAGTATTTACCGTAGAAGAATTTCTCACTTATTAAAAACCAGCGCGTAGCGACAAAAATTAACACCGCCCGTTTTAACTTGACTCTTACAACTTGGCTAACTGGAATCGTGAACTCAGTTGAACACCAGGCAACGTCCGGTCCTGTTGGTTGGCAGTAATTGTACAGAATGATGGATGACACAACATGTCAGAAGTACACACGAGTAAAAAAAAAAAGAAAAAAAAAGATTACAATAAAACAGTACCTGTAAAAGATTATGATGAGAATGATGCTGATTTTCATCAACTTCGTGCAGTCGATGATGGCGGGGTTCCTCAGGAGTGACATCATGCTCTAGCGCGAGTAGTTTCTCCAGGTTCATGGTGGTGCAGGACTGTCGTTGACCAGGCCGCATTAGCTGGACATCCGCATAATCAATCTAGAAAACCATTAAGAAACGTTATGTCATCGGATGGCAGATATCGTCGGAAACAATATACTGTTACGACAGCGGGGGTCACGTGACTCTAGTAACACGTCATATTCTCGAACGTTCACGTCCCTTCCTGAAGTCTCGAGAGGCTACTAGCATTGCTCTCCCAGACCCAACACTTAATTAGTAGCACTCATTCTGGAGTAAGACGACGTTAACACTGTTTCAAATGACTTACAAGAAACTAAAGTAACAAATTATGACTATCAAATTTTTGTGACGTAAACCAAGAGACAAGAAAAAAAACAGTCAACTCTTCGAAAGCGCCCGTTTCTTTTGTTTGTTACGGATTTCGCGCAAAGCTACACGAGGGCCATCTGCGCTAGCCGTCACAAATTTAGCAGTGTAAGACTAGGGGGAAGGTAGCTAGTCATCACCACCCACCGCCAACTCTTGGGCTAATCTTTTACCAACGAATAGTGGGATTGATCGTCACATAATAACGCCCCCATGGCTGAAAGGGCGAGCATGTTTGGTGTGATGGGGACCCACAGATTGCGAATCGAGCGCCCTAACCACCTGCCATGCCGGGCCCGAAAGCGCCCGAACTTCTGGGTCTTTTGAAATCTATAAATGTGTAAAGCGAGTTTGTTCGTATTTTTATTTTATTTATGGTATTAAGATTATGATTCGATAAATTCACGCTTTGGACACGTAGGCGGATAGTTGCGAGTTCGAGGCTGGCTCGCGTCCTCTAGCAAGTCACTTTACTCAATTTGTATAATGAGTACCAGTTGTTAGCTGGGGGTTATAACCTGCATTCCGTCCAGGGTCAGTATTCTCATCCGTTTATGCCACCTGAAATTGGGGTTTGAAAACACTGACCTTAGGAGGCTTCAACTTATGGTATTAAGGACAGATTAATATCAAAATAGGTGGGTTAGTTTATGAAACAGAACAGAAACTGTAACTCCAGTAGAACAACTACAAGAAGAGACAAATCTCTTTTGATTTAATACCAATTACTCCCTCTAAACTAGAGAGATTACTAAACATTTGAGAGACAGCAAGATAAGGTAAATATATATAAAAATATTATTATTTAATATCCAGGTGACAGATACTGAAAGGCATGATGATTTTAAAAGTCGCAGTTGTAAAACAGATTTATTAACACATACAAAAAAAGATTAGTACAGTGTATAAAATTGGAAACGTGCATTTTTTTAACCATGGAATAAGTCTGAAACTAGATCTAATATTTAAAACTGTCTACATATGCGATATCGTACAGTGTTCGCTACATGTTCTACCTTAACGTCTCGAAGAACCCACGATAAGTTTGTTTGTAATTAAGCACAAAGCTACACAATGGGCTATCTGCGCTCTGCCCAGCACGGGTATCGAAACCCGGATTCTAGCGTTGTAAGTCCGCAGACATACTGCTGTGTCATTGGTGGGGCCCACGATAAAGAGCACAATAATAAAAACGAATTTTAAGAGTGTATCCAAAGCTGTACACATTTTTGCTACATATTGGGTTATCCAACTGTGTATTCCATGGAATATAAACATGATACGTCTTCTTCTCCAAGTCCTCTGCAACATAAAACATGATCAAATCACTGGATTTGATTCATTTCATAGCATCAACTTTTTGCTACATATTGGGTTATCCAACTGTTTATTCCATGGAATATAAACACGATACGTCTTCTTCTCCAAGTCCTCTGCAACATAAAACATGATCAAACCACTGGATTTGATTCATTTCATAGCATCAACTTTTTGCTACATATTGGGTTATCCAACTGTTTATTCCATGGAATATAAACATGATAGATTTGGGTATATATTGGTTCATGTTAAAGTAATCCACTATACTTTAACATGAACCAATATACACCCAAATCGTGCTAAATATTTTGTGCAGTGTATCCACTAAACACTGCACAAAATATTTAGCACGATTTGGGT